GTCCGGGGCAACTATGTGTTTGGCCACATATCCGGCCCCACTCACCGGCTCGACCTCACTCTGAGCGCGCGTGGCGGCGCCGTTGAGGCCGCGCCACCCCACGGCATCGTCGGCCAGTCCTTTGCAGACGACTCGCCTCGAACCGGAGCCAAGGACGTCTACCCCTCTGAGGGCCGTTTCAAGACGAGCGCAATGGCGGAGGGTGCGATCGAAGGTAGTGCGGCGATGTACGAGGTTGCGACAGCGTACTCGACGGTCTTTGCCTTCTCGCGCTTCGACCCGCCCAAGGGCAAGGCCGCGGCGGCGGAGACAGATGGGCGCAGTGGCGATGATGGCCTCGGCGAGGCGTGAGACTGAGCGTAGGATGTGCATGCCGGGCGGGTAACATACGGTACGTACCGTCCGGGCTCCGGCGGTCGTGGATCGGGTCGGGTGTGTTTATATATCGGGCTCAAACGCAAAGATCCTCGCTTCTTCTCACCAACGGCATCCTTCCACAGCGCACCCCGGCGCGCTGACCGGCCCCCTGCTGAGCCGCCGAGCTGCGGACCGAGCGCTGTGGCTGTCGCCAGGGGCCAGTCACCGCCACGGCACCGAGCGAGTAGTACACCGGCGCGCTCGCTGTGGAACTCAGCACGAGGAGCAGCGCTTGCAGGCGCGCATTTTTCAGATTAGAATTTAGATGGAAAGATGCCACAATGGCGGTCAAACTCAATGCCTTCACGAGCTTCATTACAACCCCGTTCATACACACACACACACATATCTCTCACACACAACATATGCGATTGTGGACATGTATTGTACTGCCCTTCCTCCCTCTTCCCGGCCTCACCGCGGCGCGGAACCATATCTACAAACAGGCAATTAAGTCGCGCCTGGGCCGACAGCGAGAAGCGACCTCATGGGCGCTGGGGCTAGCCGCACAAATCCCCGACCGCAGCGGTCTCTCTCCCGCCCTCTCCTGCTTCCTGCAACGCACAGAGGTACATGCCAGATGGGCCTATTCGCCGCCGCCGCTGCGCCGTCGCCGCCGCTGCGCCGTCGCCGCCGCTGCGCCGCCACCGCCCCTCCCTCCTTTTCTCTCTCTCTCTCCGTTGCCGCCGCCACTCCCCCCGCGAGCGGCGTGGCCGAGTCGCCGCCGCGCGCCTCCTCAGCGAGTGCCGTGCACGCTCTGCTTGTACGCCTGCTTCTCGAGCCAGCGCGCCTTGTCCTTGAGGTCGACCTGCTCACAGTGTACCTTAAGGTAGCCGGTGCGGAGAGGGGGAGAGAGAGGGGGGGAAGAGAGGAGAGACGGGAGGAAGGGTCGGCCTGGCTCCGCTTAGGCGCGAAGAGGACGTCCGGCTGCTCGGCGTCCTCCGTGGTGCCGTGTCCCCAGCGGTGGATGTCGGCCCACGAGCTGTCGCCGAAGAGCTCAATCCCGCGCTGAAGCGTCGCGATCTCGCCCTCGCTCCACTTGACGCGCTGCCCCGCCGCCGCCGGCCTCGCCGCCGCGGACGTGCCTGGCTCTGCCGGCTGCCATGTGCACGGCTCTGGCTGCCGCGCCCTCGCCGCCGCGCGCGCAGGGGAGGGCCTCGCCGAGCCCGCCGCCGACGCCTTGGCCGAGCTCCTTGCGGGGGAGGCCTTGGCCGAGGTGGCGCCGCCGCCGTCGCCGCACGCCGCCGAGCTCCACGCTGCGCGCGCTGGCTCCGCTTCGAAGCGGTGGACCGCCGACCGCGCGCGCTTCGGCCTCTGCGGTCCGCCGCCGCCGCCGCCGCATAGGGAGGCGGACGGCGCGGGCGGCTGCGCATCGCTCCGGCTGGCGGACGCGCCCTTGCGGCTAACGGCGGGGGAAGGGCGGGCGAGGGGCGACTTGTTGGCGGCCGCAGCGGAGCGCTCCGAGAGCGACGCGGCCGGTGTGGGCGGCGCGGTCGGCGCGACGGAGCCGCCGGCGCTGCCGGCCTGCCGCCGCGAGAGCGCGTGCTCCGCTGCCTCTGCGCGATCGCGGTACTTGTCGATTTGCTTGACGAGTAGCTTGTGCTCCTGCTTGGTGATCGCGTTTGCCTGGCGGAGCTTGTTGTGCGACTCGCGCTCGGCGTCGAGCTCGGCGACCTGGTCGCTGTGCCTCCGGCACGCCTTCTCGTACTGCTTCTTCCACTTGTCGGCCTCGCGCGCCTTGGCCTCGGCTTTGTCGACGAGCTGCGAGACGGCGGGGCGCGCGCGCTCGATGTGGGCCTTGACGCTGAGGAAGGCCTCGCGCGCCTCCCTCTTGCCCTTGGTCAGGCCGTCGAGCGCGTCGAGCCATCCGTCCACCTCATCGGCCTGTGAGGTGATGTCGGTCACGCCTGTTTGGATGCCGAGCGAGTCGCCGCCCGTCCCGCCAAACAACTCCTCGTCCTCATCGCGTCGGCCGCCCCGCGGCTGCTTGGAAGGCGCGCCTCTCTCGGCAGCGCCACGCTTTGGCGGCATGCGAGTCGTGGATGGAGCGGAGAAGGGCGCTTTCGCTGGCACAGTTTGTATTACTGGGTGAACCCTGCGTGCAAAAAGAATTTTGACGCGGATTGGCACGAGAGCAAGAAGAGTCGAACGGGAGGCGCCTAAATCAAAAGACCCGGCGACATCCTTGAGACGCGCGAGAGCAACCTCCTTAAAGGCAATGGGGTCTAGATTTGGAGCGCTCGCCGAAGAGGAGTACGACGAACTACAGTACGACAAAATTGAAAATAGCGCCCGTGATTGCCTGCACGCTGCCAGCACTGACAGACTCCATACCCGAAAGAAAGAGAGGGGAGCTTGGGGTTGCAGGAGAGGTGACGAGGGAACTACAGGTAGTGGGGAAGGCAGCTTCGATTGCCATACAGACATGGGTGCGAAACAACGACAAGACCAAGGCACGGGCAGAGGAGCGAGAGAAGAACATAGGATGGATAGGGCGCCTGTTCACGGCATGGAGGGTGAGCCACGATGAACGTTAATGAACGTGTAGAGCCGAACGAGAGGAAGCCGGGGAAGACGACTCCGAGGAGGACGAAACACCAGTGGTAATCCCGCCATCAGCTGTCACGATATACCCGAAGGGAACCCCAGTGCCAACACCGACCGTTGGGGTTCAAGTGCTCGAAACGAGAGTGGACGTGAGCATCCAACGTGCAACGACATGACTTGGAGGCAAATGATCGGAGTGGGAGTCAGAAATGTGGTCCTTGCGCGAGAGGGGAGCTCGATAAACTCGAGGGGCCAAATTATGCCGCGAGGAGGGCGGAGTTACGCAGAAAGGCGGAGAGAAGCAGCGCGAGAGCAAGGCAGACGGCAGCGGCGCGTCTCAGAACGAGGCCGAGGAGAGCGATGAGTCAGAGGATGAAACAGCAGGAGAGAGAACGAGGACGAGAGTGGGAAGAACGAGAGAGGTGGCATGAAGGTCGCTCTCGCTGCGAACTGCGATAATTTTGGTGAGAAACTGCAAAGAAGATAGGAAGTGGTAGACGCCCCCGAGGGTGGGCGACGGCTAGCACCACACTCCTCTCCTTAAAATCCCTGTGTGGTGGCGGCGTGCCGTCCTCCCATCCCTCCCGACTAGGTCCAGCCCTGGGTGAGCCAGATCTGACGTTTTGTGTCTGTAAGTATAAAGATGAGAGTGAGGTTGAACCGGACCCAATCAAAGTCGGCGGGTTTCCAGGGGGGGGGTATGACGAAAAACGGCGGGCGCATTTGGGCACATGATGGGGAGAACTCTGTGGTGGACCCGCTGGGCGAAAGGACTAAGGAGCTCGCAGACCGTTGTGCCTCACGATGTCATCGAGCGGAGCGAGTGCGAGCGCGGCGGCCAAGCAGCGGCACCAGGAGCAGCTGCGAGCTGACACGAGCGCGCTCGTCGATGCGGCGAGGGGGCAGAGGCAGATGCCCGAGTGACATCGTTATCTGAAAGTATAGAGATGGGAGTGAGGTTGAGCCGGACCCAATCAAAGTCGGCGGGTTTCGGAGGGGGGGGGATATGACGAAAAACGGCGGGCGCATTTGGGCACATGACTGGGAGAACTCTGTGGTGGACCCGCTGGGCGAAAGGAGCTCGCAGACCGTTGCAGCCTCACGATGTCATTGAGCGGAGCGAGTGCGAGCGCGGCGGCCAAGCAGCGGCACCAGGTGGAGCAGCGGCGAGCTGACACGAGCGCGCTCGCGGATGCGGCGAGGGGGCAGAGGCAGATGCCCGAGTGACATCGCGTCAGATCCGTGTTTTCTCGTCTTGCGATACATCTCTCCGCTCGCCACCTCACGCTCCGCCGTCCGGCCATGGATGGTTCGACGGAGCTCGCCGAGCTCCATCGAACCATCCAACTCCGGTCACCGGGTCTGAACGCGCTCAGCCTCAGGAGGTACCAAACCGCGCGAATTCTGCACGCCTCGCTGCACCGCTGGCTTGACTGAATCAGGCAGCAGCAGGCTGCTGCTGTTGCCACAGCAGCAGTCTGCTGCGGCCCCAATACGCAAGTTAATGACCAGCATTGCTGCCGGGGGCATTCGAGCCGCCACAGCCGGTGTGCGGCTGTGCACTGCCACCTGCCCGCGGCTACGCACAATGTGCGCTCGCATTGGATGAGCCCTGCTGATGGAGACCTGCGTCGCCTAGCTGCACGAGAGCAATGCCGCAGGCGGCGGCCGTGGCATACACTGCGAGCACACTTGGTGCAGCTGCGAGATGCAGCAAGAGCACGTCGTTCCTGCCTCTGATGCCACTCTCGCGGCTTGTAGCGCGTCACTCGCGCATGCTCTCCAGGAGCTATGGCGGGCGCGTGTGGGGCTGTAGCCTGTGTTTGGCCGGTTCTGACCCGTTTACTATCAGTACCATGCCTGGGCCACAAGAATCGCACACGGGGAGCGGCTCAGGGACCCAGTAAGCCGCGGAATCGCCAATGTCACAACCCGGCTCACCCAGGTTTGGACCTAGTCTCCCTTGGGTGGTCCGCGTTTTCTCTTTCTGGCGTTCTTTTACGGCTTCACTTTGTTTTTTTTTGGCACGAGAGTCGAGAGAAAAAAGTATATCTAGCTAGCCGAACATTGCGAAGAAGCGATTAGATCTACCTCTCGAATAAACACAAAACGCGCGGTTACCAACTCGTGGACATCCCTCCAATGGTGGACATCGCAGCGATCTCGCTGAAGCTCTGCCACCACCAGTCCGACGGAAGCGAGCCGACGGTGAGCCGCGCGAGCAGCGTCACGAGGACGAGGGTGGCGAGCAAGGTGACCAGCACCTGGAGAGGCCGGCCAATCGTGAGATGCGCCGAGGGGCGCCGAGGGGCGCCGAGGTGCGGCCGAGCACCTTGAGGTCGGCCAGCTCTCGTCTCGTCTCGTCGAGCGACCGCTGCAGCATCCGCACCTGTGCACAAGTGGCCAGGAAGCTGAGCTCCCTCGGAGGCCGAGGGCGGAGCGCGACGGCGACGTCCCGCTCCATATGGTGCAATATATGGGTGCTGGGTGCCGGGTTGGTGGAGCGTGGGGCGCTGGGTATTGGTTCGGTGGAGGGAAGGGGCAGCGCCTGCGCCGCCTTCTCCTCGTTCTGCCGGAGCAGCGCCGTCGCCTCCGCCGCCGCCCCCCGCAGCCGCGGCCGCCCCCCCTCCCCCCCCTCCCCCCCCTCCCCCTCCGCCGCCGCCTCCCCGCCCGCCAGCCGGCTCGCCGCCAAGGCCCTCGGGGAGGCGCCTACGGCACGCGGCCGGGACCTGTCCGGGACCTGTCCGGGACACCACCCCAGGGGGCGTGTGAGGCGCGCGCCGCGAAAGGTCGCCGCCAGCCGCGTGTTGAGCTTCTGCTCCGACTCGCGCTGCGAGAGTCGCGCCGCCGACAGCTTCTCGCTGAGCGTGCGCGCCTAGAAGGTTCCTAGAAGGTTCCTGGGAGGTCCCTAGAAGAGACAGCTTCTCGCTGAGCGTGCGCGCAATCATCAGCTGAATCGCGTACCCAAAGTCGCTGTCCTCCTCCTGCTGCAGCTCGTAGAAGGCGCGCTGCGGCCAGCGCACGTAGCACGAGCCCGGCGCGGCCACCACGGTCGCGCGCGCGGGCGGGTGCCTGCGTTGTGGAGACAGTCCCGCTCCGGAATCGTGCAGTGTAGTCGGGAGGCATGCCGGGAGATGGCCGTGGTGGAATGGCCGTGCAGTGTCTTCCGGAGCGAGGTGAAGCGGCTGCAGAGAGCTTCACCATACGGCTGGGAGACGTGTCCCCCGAGTACCGCCGGCGCAGACTGGTCAGGGCTCTGCGGACTCGCGATCTCGGCCCGATCTCGGCCCGATCTCGGCCCGATCTCGGCTAGATCTCGCGTCTCTCCGCGCGGGCTCTGCAGGTTCTCGAGCAGCGACGCCTCGCCGACAAGCTGGTACGGCGGCAGCGTCGAGGCGACCGCGCCGCCGACCCGCACCTGATGCGGTGTGAAGAGGACTGGGCCGAGGCTGGGCCGAGGTTTGGCCGAGGTCTGGCCGACCCGAGCCTCGACGGATCCGTTAATCGGCACGAAGAGGTCGTAGAGCGGCTCGCCCTGCGCGGCGGGCAGGGGGAGGGCGGTCAGACTGTCGTCGGGAGGGGTGTGGGAGAGGCGTGTCTGGGAAGTGTCTAGGAGGTGTCTAGGAAGTGTCCACACCTGCACGGTGAGGACGTCCCCCTCCGCAGAGCACGCGAAGGTGGACAGCTTGAGCAGCCGCGAGAACTGCGCCCGCCGGAAGCCGAGCGGCGCAAAGCAGTTTGTGTACAGCGCCTCCTCGTTCTCCTAGGAAGTGTCCAGGAAGTGTCTAGGAAGTGTCTAGGAAGCAGTTCTTGTAGAGGGCCTCCTCGTCCTCCTGCCACTCCAGGGCCGAGGCGAGCGCCTCCTTGGTGAGGAGCCAGCGCAGGATGTAGTACCTACGCGTCGTGCACCCCCCACCCCTCTTCTCACCGCATCAGCCTCGCCTGGCGCGCACCCAGCGCAGGGAGGCGGCCGCCCGTTGATGACGATGAAGAGCTGGTCGTAGAAGATCGGAAAGACGTCCTGCGGTAGCAGCGGCGAGGAGGGGGGGTGGGCGAGGAGGAGAGGGGGGAAAGAGGCGGCAGCGAGGGGAGAGGCGGCGGCGAGGGGAGAGGCGGCGGCGAGGGGAGAGGCGGCGAGGGGAGAGGAAGCGGCGAGGGGAGTTTAGCGGCGAGGGGAGAGGCGGCGGCGAGGGGAGAGGCAGCGGCGAGGGGAGAGGCGGCGGCGAGGGGAGAGGCGGCGGCGAGGGGAGAGGCTGCGGCGAGGGGAGAGGCGGCGGCGAGGGGAGAGGCGGCGAGGGGAGAGGCAGCGGCGAAGGGGAGAGCGGCGAGGCCGCGAAGAGGCGGCGGAGAGAGGCGGCGGAGTGAGGCGAGAGAGGCGGGCGAGAGGCGAGAGGCGAGAGGGGGGAGAGGGGAGAGGCCGCGAGAGAGAGAGGGGGGGGCACACGCCTCTCCTCCCTAGACACTTCCTAGACACTTCCTAGACACTTCCTAGGGAGAGAGAGGGGCACGCCTCTCCTCCCTAGACACTTCCTAGACACTTCCTAGACACTTCCTAGGGAGAGCCTCGACGTTGACGTTTGCGAACGCCTCGAGCGGGTTCAGGTTCATGCCGCTGACAATGAAGCCCGCCTCCTTGGTCTCGAAGAGGTTGCCTGAGAGGCGGGCGGCGGCGGTGCGGGCGGCGGCGCCAGGGGAGGAGGCGGCGGGGGCGGCGGAGGCTCGGGTGGCGGCGGCGGCGTGCGCGAGGGCGGCGGCGAGGGCGGCGGCGAGGGCGGCGGCGGCGTGGGAGTGGCGGCGAGGGCAGGGCAGGGCGAGCGAGGGCGGCGGAGGGGCAGGCGGCGGAGGGGCATGTGGGAGGCGCGCCTCCAATCTCGAGCACCGCGGTGAGCACCGCAAGGAGACGAAAGCCAATCGGGTCGCCCATCGCGTACGAGAAGAATTGCGCAATGTACGAGAGGTGCACGCCGACGGAGGCGCCCGGGTCGTAGACGGTCTGCAGCGTGAAGGAGAGGCCGATGAAGGTGGAGCACACGACGAACTTGTCGAGTGTGGTCAGCGTCTTGTTGTTCCACGGCACCAGAAACTCCCACCGAAAGTCGCCCTTGTCGAGCGGCTCGAGCGCCTGGTAGAGCGCGCGGCGCGTGCGCAGCGAGAGCATGGCCAGGCCCCACTGCCCGTCCTCGGCGACGAGCAGCGGCGGGCGCGCCCGACCCCTCTGGCTGCGTCGCTGCAGCAGCGGCGGCGCCGCCCATGGACCACCGTGCCGCACGCCGGCGGAGCGAGCGGGGAGGCGGCCGGTCGGGGAGAATGGAAGGCCCGCGGCGCCACAGAGGCACGAGAGAACGACGGCGGTAGCAGACATGTACATGAATGCCGAGAATGCGTCGGCACCCCGCGCAAGCTTGCCGGCGAACTCCTTCGAACGGAACAAGAAAAACTTCCGCGCGCTTGTTCTCCCAGTCGTTCTCTCTCCGGCCCGTCATCCTCTTCCTTCTTTTATTTGGGAACCTGTCAAAACGCAATCTCGCCGACCGCATATGAACAAGAAGAAAGGGACCCATGTGTGATTTCGGGCCCGGGGTATGAACAAGACACTTCTTGGAGCTCTCGGAAGCCACTTGCTGCAGCTGGCTTGCTGCTTGCCTCCGCAGCACCCGGCTCCAAAACCGGCTCCCAGCACCGGCTCCAAAACGCTCTTCGCCACCGGCTTCAATACCACCACCCGCGCACCACCCGCTGAGCCTGCAAGATGGCGCTCCTCGCCACCGTCATAGCGGCGGCGGCGCTCCTCTCCGCCGAGCTCAAGCTGCCAAAGGTGGACATGAAGTACCGCAAACTGGGCTCTTCCGACATGCTCGTCAGCTCGTGCTGCCTTGGCACGATGACGTGGGGCAACCAGAACACGGACGAGGAGGCGGCAGCGCAGCTCGACAAGGCGTGGGACCTGGGCGTCAACTTCCTGGACACGGCAGAGATCTACCCGGTGCCGGTGGAGGAGGAGAAGCAGGGTGCCACCGATCGCGCCATCGGCAAGTGGCTCAAGACGAACGGCCGTTCGCGCGACGAGGTGATCATCGCGAGCAAGGTCGCCGGCTACAACGAGCGCTTCACGTGGATGCGCGACGGGCCGACTCGCGTGACACGCGAGCAGATCATCGCCTCTGTCGACGCGTCGCTCGCGCGCCTCGGCGTCGACCACCTCGACCTGCTGCAGATCCACTGGCCGGATCGGTACGTGCCCATGTTCGGCTCGGTCGCGTACGACTGCAGCAAGGAGCGCGACGACGCCGTGCCCTTCGACGAGCAGGCGCGCGCGATGGGCGAGCTGGTCAGTTCAGGCAAGGTGCGCGCGTGGGGCCTGTCCAACGAGACGCCGCTCGGCGTGGCTGAGTTCGTGGCCGCGGCGTCGCGCGAGGGCGCGCCGCCGCCCGTGTCGGTGCAGAACTCGTACTCGCTGCTGCAGCGCTCGGACGAGGTTGGCCTCGTCGAGGCGGTCCGCCACCACGACGTCGCGTACCTGCCCTACTCGCCGCTCTCGGCCGGCGTGCTTTCGGGCAAGTACGACGGGCTGTCGCAGGCGCCCGAGGGGACGCGGCTCAAGCTCTTCGACTCGTACTTCGACCGGTACGCCAACACGTGCGCGCCCGAGTGCGTCGAGTGCTACAAGAAGCTCGCCTTCAACCACGGCATCTCGCCCGCCGCGCTCGCCATCGCCTTCTGCGACTCGCGCCCGTTCGTGACGTCGACCATCATCGGCGCGACGTCGGTTGAGCAGCTCGAGATCAACCTGCAGGGCTTCGGCGTCGAGTGGACCGACGATCTCGAGGAGGAGATCAAGCGCATCCACGCCTACTTCCCCGACCCGTGGCGCATGATCGTCCGCGGCGGCGGCTGAGCGGCAGCGGCCGGCGGGGCGGGCCGGCATGCCGCGGGCCGGCGTGCGGAGTGCGAGTGAATCAGCCGCGTCTGTCGAATCGATGTGCGTGTCGGCGGGCGCGTGTGAAGGAGCGAGCGGTGCCGACTCTTCTCCATGCGTGTGATCGTATCCGCTCGGGATATATCCCTATACATCGTTGCGCTGCGAGCTCCTTCTCTGAGGATCGCTGAGGTGGGGGCCATATCTCGATCAAAAGAATTTTGAACCCATCTTGGAGCACTTGGAGAGCGGTTTGGCGGCTAGTTCCATTTCACTGTGGCACAGCTCGCGTTACAAAACCCTTGATTTGACCATTTGCGCCATTTGGTACCTCTCGGTGCCTTCCAGAGGCAGCTGCGACCCCGCCGAGTAGACTGCGGCACACAGCAGGTGGCGCGGTGACATGCCGGAGGAAGGTCGCTAGTCGAGAGAGATCGCCTGTGGAATAGGGAGTCCACCGTGCTGCGAGCCTGTCTCTGTCCCTTGTCGGGAACCGGGAGAACTAGGACAGTCGCGCCAGTAGGAGGCCTCTGCCTGGCCCCCGTGCCGTCCGGGTGTAACCCTGTCCTGTTCTAGA